TGTTTTTGATGCACCCATAAGCCCTCAATACAGTTGAGTTCACAGTGGAATTTTGGTGAGAAAAAAAAATCCTAACACCATATTGTTCTGCAAGTTTTTCAAGCTTTGATCTCTAAAAAGTATTCAAAAGCAGTGCAGTCTCCAGCGCATTAGAAATGATTCTTGCCTATCCTTCATCTTTTTTACTCTTGCCAATCTGAAGTAATGACCTACGCTTAGGATTTTCTGTTTCTCATTTTTGCTTATGAAGTGGTCCCAATTATAAATGTCATTATAGAATAACGATTCACCAGATCTGATCTAGGTGCTCGGATGAGTCTCTTGTTAAGATAAATTGCTACATATGAATCTAATGGACGTTCATTTAATAATACTGGGATTTCATGTGCTGCGATAAACGAACGTCCACGAAATAATTTCAATACAACTCTAAATTTGCGTTTTAGTACTCCTTGGGATCCAATTGGTAAAAGAGGGGAAAAGGGAAACATCCACGCAAAGAACGGAAAGCTATATGCGAAAAAACATAATCTCAGCACTTTGGTAGTGATATGTTTATTTCTTCTCAACCATTTCAACTTCATATAAGAAATTTTGATTTTTCTATGCAACGATCAACGGTTGGGGCAAGAGATAGTTTATCTGTCCATTCAAATCCTAAATATTTGAAACTTCTCACGCAGTCAAGTTGTTTTCCATCCATATATATTTGTATTTTAGGTTGTACTAATTGGGTATGAAATAGTTGTACAACAGCTTTATCCACATTTATTGACTGCTTCCACTTTACTGAGTAGTCAAACAGATTTTTACATATTTCTGTTCCTTTTCTATTTATATATTCTATCAGTTTTGGTAGACTTTTCTGAATGGGTGACCCTCTAAGGGCACATAGATCATCTGCAAATATGTGCGTGGAGCGTGCATCCATACGGCTTACTATATCGGAGTGAAAGATAATAAAAATATATGGGCTCAGTGGGCTTCCTTGTGGAAGACCAACTTTGACTTCGAATTCATCGGATTTGTGACTTCCAAATTCTACACAGACTTTTCGATTGCTCAACCAGTTAATTATTAGTTTTAGTAGCTCAAGGGTCATTTTCATATGGTATAGCTTTACAATAAGGCCTTCATGCCAAACTTTGTCATAAGCTTTCTTATAGTCGACATAGATATTGAGCGTTGGCACATTTGCTGCCAAGAAGTTCTTTACTTCCTGGTAAATTGATAGTACTCTAGTTTGTAGTAGGCATCCTTTTCTAAAGCCTGATTGTTCTACCGGTATTATATGATTGTTTTCGGTCCAATTTTGAATTCGATTCAACAAGATTTTTTCGTAGAGCTTGGAATGAGTTGTTAATAGTGAAATAGGTCTGGTTTGGTTACATTGTGGTGAGCCTATCTTCACTTTATTTAGCGTTATTATTTTTGCTATTTTCCAATCATCTATCAATATTCCTTCCGCGAACCAATTATTAAAGCATTTACTCAAACACTGCAGGGAACCTGGATGTAGACGTTTGATCATAAAGTTCGATATGGCATCGTACCCTGCTGATTTTTTTGGTTTTAAATTATCAATGGTTCTTTTAAGTTCATATGGTGATGTTAACTCAACTGATTTTGTATATGATTTCAGCTGTTTTACAATGTGGTCGTAGTCTGTTTCTACGTGCGCGTCGAAGGGATCATCTCGATTAAGTGTAGGAGGAGTGAAGAGGTTTGGGTAGTATTCATGTAACTCTTTTGTTATTTCCTGTTGCGACCTCATCTCTATTCCATTCACTCTGAGTTTACGGAAGGGTAGTGATTTCGGTCGATAGATATGAGAAAGATGTTTCCAAAAGGTTGAGTCAGATCTACCATGATTTTGCTAAACATTTTCTAAAAAGTCGTTCCATTTACTTGATCTGTATATAAGTATTTCTGTTCTAACATGTTTCGTCATTTGTCGAAGCCATGCTCAATCATTTTCCTGCCGATATTTATAATATCTATTTCTAATCTTGTGTAACTGATTCAATTTTTCCAATATATGTGGCGGCAGGGTAGGTTTCCATTTAGAAATATCGTGCCATTTAGTAAGACGGTTTTTAAGTGCTGTTAAGAAACAAGTGTAATTTTTACACCATTCAGTTGATGTCATCAAGTCGCATTGTTTTATCCAATACTCCTGTAATAAATATAGAATCACCTCGATGTGCTTTCATTTAATGGTAGAAAATTTTCTAGAGGTGGGAAGGAAGATGAGACTTGAGCTGTATACTAGTGGCCAATGGTCACTGGTTCCGAAATTCATTGTCTCCCCAAGCACAACTGCAAAATTTGCAGAAGTCAAATCTATGTTCCTCAAAGATCTTTTTGAGGAATTAGATGTACTTGGAATGTAAGTTAGAAGATTTTTTTCACTCCACATCAATATCATCTGTCCCCTTTTATCTGTTTTTGGACTATTCCCTGAAACAAATAAACAAATATGAAACCAACATCATCATCATCATCTACATCCATACACAATGTCCGCTGAACGAACTATTTATGTCATTACTTCCTCTAACATGATTCCGTATACTCAATAAAACCGAAGTGAGAATTGAAAATATTCCATCGAAAAGTAATTCAGAAATTTTCTTCATCCCGAAACAATCTATAAAATTCGACATAAATATTTTTCTTAATATTCACATTTTCAGCGGACAACAAAAACGAATTCTATAATATACCGAAATTTGACTCTTTCTGAAAGAATTTTAATAACATTGAATTGAGATTTTCTTTGAAATTTTTCTTTGGAAATTTTTGAACTTGAATAGATTAAACCATTTGAAGAGTCCTTTGGCAGGGACGAAACGCGTCATAGTAGCTTCTTCACACACCCACACCCGACCTATCTCGTCATATCTGTTTTTCCGCCACAAATTCCTGGTAAGAGAAAATGCATTTTTTTTATCTTTAAATATTCAACAATTCTCTCTTAGGGTATCCATGATACGTGAATGATACGACTATCTTTGGTCGTTCTGATCTATTTTCTGTTGAAGCTGGCACTGCCGTTTCGTTCAATGGAGGTCACGTCTCTGTGACCACTGGTAACGTGGGTGTCGCCCCCGGCACGGCTATTACGGGCAACATGATGCTAAATACGGGCTCCGCGATCGGCTGTGTAACCGACGAACTAATTGCTTATGCACTTTTAAAAGGTCTCACGTGCACAACCAAAAACACTCTCGCCAACTCGGATCTATCGGGTGTCACTCTGATCTCGGGTGTCTATTGCTCTAGCTCAGGTACATTGAGTATATCGGCTACGACGCTCACTCTTGATGGCAATGGAGATTACGGATCGCAGTTCATCTTTCAGACGGCCACCACCGCCATCACTGCTGCTACCACTTCCTTCACTCTCATCAATGGCGCACAGGCCAAGAATGTGTATTGGCAGGTCGGAAGCAGTGCCACATTGGGACTGGGCAGCTCCTTTGTAGGACATGTACTAGCCGGAGTGGCCATCACTGTGGGACACACCACAACTGTCGCCGGCAGACTGTTGGTCCAAGTTGTGGTGACATTTGAGGGTGCATATTCGGTAACATTGCCATAACAGTAGGACCTATGGGGCAAGTTGACGGTTATGCAGCTGCAGAGGCACAGTTCGCTATTGTCGTTGTTGTACTTGGAAAATATTTTTTGTGAAAGTCTGAGGAGCAAAAGATTCGGTCAGAAAACCCAAATAGTCTGTCTCCAACATTTTCTGGCAATATGCCCTATTTTTCTCGTTTAATGTTTGCTATTTTTTATATAATATCGTTTATTTCTCTCGTACTATACTGTATTCGATATAAAACTCTTTAAGCGCAAATAAATAATGCATACCTATTTTTGTCAAGACTCAAACAAAAACGAAAATTTGATAGAAATATTGGTTTGTAGACAACTTCTTCAGGCTTCAGGTAAAATAAAACAGCAGCTATTTCTTAAACGCTGCCTATTTTTGTGAGAAAACCACGGGTAAAAGGTAAAAAACAATTTATAAAATTATCACTGATTAATAACAATAGAATTCTAAATTGATACTTGAGTAAATCTAGTTGTAAAGGGTGTGGTTGTGGATATTACTATTATCTTCTCGCAGGATCACCTGTAACCACGCTCACACCTACACCCCGACTCTTCTTTCAACACAATGAAAAAAAAAGTTTATTCACCCATGAAACTAATAAATAAATCCTCACTACAAAAGTTATGAAAGCATAAATAAACTCTGCATGCCAATGATACTAGCAAAACATCTTCTACAATCTTTTTTATTTTATTTTAGATAACTTATCTTAGATAGACCTCTAAAAAACCAAAATTACCAGCATTCTACAAACAAATGGCGACAAAAATTCACGCACAACAGATCATCAACGGAAACCACAACGGTCACAGCAACCCAGCTAAATATTGGCAGCTCTATCATCCCACTGTTCTTCAAAATTATATAACTGCCACTATGCCTTCTTTGACCTAGGCGTGTAGGATGTAGTTTCTAGTGTTTGATTTAATCGAGATTGTAATAATACAGATTCTACATATTGTGACAAAAGCCAACTGATGAGTCCCTCAGTCGAGATGAAATCTAGATATTGGCAGCTTTATCACCCTCACCCCACACACCCGCAATAGAATTGCCTTAAACATTCCAATGCAAGAGGGAGAACAATGAGTTATATGCATTGGAATATTTAAGAAAATTCTATTGCGACTGATAATTTAAATATTTATAAACCTTTTTCACTTATGCATGTCTGATATGATGTCCTTAGTAGGACGAACTGTCACAATTATTTGAACAAATAAAACATGAGTGATAGTCTAATTACTTTAATTTTATTATTATTAAACACAATACTATCAAATGATATTCATAAATAAAACAAATATCATGCTAGTTTATTTCTATGAACATTCAAAGTTTCGTTAATTCATCTGAAGTAGAAAAGAAAACAGAATTATTATCGTGACATTTTTATTCCACGTAAATATCCTCTTTGGGTTTTGCACGCAAACACACAGGAGTCTTGAAATAGATAGTAGCGTTTCTTAATTTCATCGGCAGATTCTGAACTTTCCATCTCACCGAAACTTTCAATGTGACACTCAAATGTCTTTAGCTTTGGACAATTCGATAGAACACGATTAAACTGATCCATGATACGACCAAGCGGACTTCCGTCATAAATGAAGATAATAGTACGTTCTAAGTTGGGCATACATTGATATACATCGAGTAGTTCTCCAAGACTCATCATTGAGCCACAATAGCTTGCCGATGATCTGTCGTAAGTGTCAACATTTAACTGTTCTAGTGGTAAATTTCGATTCTTCAACGATCCTGAATTATTTGTACCGAGTCCACAGTTAAAACGTTTCAAATTTGGCAAGTTGTCAAGTAATGGATAGAACATCGACTTATTACAGCATTGGATATCGACATACTGCAAATTCGGTGACCAAATTTTTATTCCAGATATACAGCTACCATTAGCATATGGTAAACTTACAGATTCCATTGCCGGAAATTTATTGCCAAATATCATGGTACAGAGCTTCTGATATACATGTGTCCATGATTGTACATATATCGTTAATTGCTTTAGATGCGGAAATATTGATGGTTGCACATGTATCAATTGAGGATGGTTATATGTATAAACATTGTATTTTGAACCTGAGTGAAATGTTAGATCACGAATATTGATACATTGATTAGTTTTGCATATTCATATTTTTCTTCGTTAACAGAGAATGAACGAATTTGTTCAGGACGAACATATGGAAGAATATATCGTTTTTCTTCTTCGTTTAACTCGGAACGAATATAAACACGTACCTCACCTATAATACGATTGAGACGTGACTTTAAATTATAAAAGCCACGAAATAAATCTAATCTAGGTATATATCGAAATATTTTTAAAAATATTTCGTCTGGAAAAATAGTATCCATATTGAATTAATAATTCTTATCTAAAAATATAACATATTTTCAATTTAAAACAATATTGGTACATGCTGAAATCCACTGTTTGGACGTATGAAAATATTCCCATTGAAATAAAGTCGAACTAGTTGAAGGAGAAATGAAAAACATACATCTAATAATATTACTGGTAATATTTAGCTGAAGTCATAAATAACCAGGGGTGCAGAATCTGCCGAAAAAATACAAAATTTCCCCACACGGAAATTTTCTTTTTGGGAAATTTCCCCCACTATAAAATTGAATAATAAAGCAAGGAATTCTCGTTTAAGATGTAGG